ACCCCTGGCAACCTGTATTCTATCCTCAATGAAAGAGGGTCGCTTGAATCAAATTCTGGATGGTGAAATAATAGTCAATGATAATGAAGCAACTTCTGAGACGGCCAAAAAGTTGGCGGATCTGGCAAAAAGATGTTTGGAGTTACAAAGGGAGGAAAGGCCTTCCATGGAGCAAGTAGCCGTGGAGCTTGAGGGATTGCGCAAGTTTATGGCAGAGTATCAAAGGGGACAACCCAGTTTCTCAATCTGGCCAAACTCTAATTAGTGTTGTTTGCAGATGCTTTATTAATCTAATTAGTGAATAATTCTATGTTAATCTTGTCCTCTCGACTGTAAGCATTATATTAATCAACTCACCACTAGTGTCTTGTAGGCGTTGGTGAAGAAGTTGACAACGCAGGATCCGAATCCTAAATTACCTATTGCCCCCACAGAAATCCAAGTTGCGGCTGTGACCGTTTTCTTCAACAGGACTTCTATGCCTCCTATCCCCATTCTTGTCCCCTTCAACATCGTCAATAGGACTCCTACTGTAATCAGATCTGCGATCCTATGGGTAGGGGCCTAGGGGTGGGCATAAAAACCGATAAACCGAATGAACCGACCGAACCAAACCAAACCGAACCGAAAAATGAGGTTTTTTTGACCAAACCGAAAAAGTCAACACTAAACCTGACCCGAACCGAAGTCAACGGTTCGGCCTTCGGTTCAAAAAAATTTGGAACCGGAAAACCTGACCCGAACCGAGCATTAATCAATAATATATAAATATACCACGTGGCCTCTGTTTATTGGGTAAAAGAAGAGCTTTACCTTGAGGATGCTTGCACTAGATCACAACCACAACTAAACCTAGCTCCTTCACCTTTCTCTTTCATTTCACTCTCTCAAATTCAATCGCCGCCTCTCTCACCCTCTACCTCTATCGTCTCTCTCCCGACCTCACCCTCACCGTCATCGATCTCTCTCTCTCTCTCCTCTCATCTCCTGTCTCTTTCGACCTCATCCTCTCTCTCTCGACCTCATCCTATCTCATCTTCTGGTTTTTATTTTGTTCTTTTTGCAGGCAGAGAAGCTTAGTGGCAGTTGTTGGCGGCACTGGAGAAGGGAAGACGTCGCTTGTGTCAGCCATGCTTGGAGAGCTGCCTCCCAGAGCAGATTCTGGTGTTGTAATCAGGGGGACTGTTGCTTATGTTCCCCAAGTTTCATGGATTTTCAATGCTACTGTGAGTCGCAGCATCTCTTCTTTGAATGCCTACAATGTTCAATCTGTTATTTGTCTTTTTTTCTTCATTAGTTTTATGATTAAGTTCTTTCAAACGTTTTCAACTATTTCTGACAAATAAATATGAGTTGATATGGGTGAATAAAGCTGTATGGGTGTGTATTTCAACTTTCAAATAACCTATTTGATGGGTTTATGGGTTTTTGTTTATTTATTTAGTTTCCCTGCGTATATACACTTGTTATCAGTGTGTATTGGTTGATTATATTGGTTGCAAAGAGGGATCTTTGTGCATCTATCTTTAAGATACCTGGCTATCCTTGAAGCGCCCCTTGTTGCAGTTCATATTGTACTGCTGGGTTCCAGATTCTTTCTTTTTGGCCATGAATTTTTATGTTCAATTTTTGTAGGAAACATACAAATAATATCATTAAGAACAAGCCATGGAATGCTTTTTTAAATCTGCTGTTTTTTGTAGTGCATGCCCATCATATATTGATGGCACTGTAAGATTTTTAGCAATATAAAAATATATTTGAATATGTAAAATAAGAAGTGGTCCTGTACTTCAATTGGTTGATTTTACTTGGAGAGAGGTATTTGAATCTGTAGTTTTCAGGTATTTGATTTTACTTGGTTGATTTTGCTTCAAAATTTGACTGAAACCCGCGAAGCTTCAGGTATTTGAATATGTAGTTTTCTGGGTGATAGTAAATGAATGCATTACTACTAGAATGAAACATCAGAAATCCCCCATTTTCAAAGCTTTTCATCAGTTGATATAAGCCATAAGGCCACTCCTCATGACAACCTGGATCAATATAAAACATTTTCGTCCAAGACTTTTCTTCACCACAATCTTTCATTACCCACACATTCAGAGGATATATAAAAGCAACTTCACATACACACCTGTAATGTTCATTAATTAATTTACTCATTCTTTCATTTTGGATGAATCTAGTTTGCTTTGGAACAGAGCTTATAAGATGTTTTGAATGATAACTAATTGAGAAGTGTTTTTATCTGTGTATTTGAGTCGATTGAGGTGCTATAACTTGTTTTGATCAGTTTAAATGATTTCAGACAGAAACTGCAAACACTTTTTTTTTGGGTGAAATTAACTATCGAGTTGGAGTATGATTCTGGTTGTTTGGTGAGTGATTTTAAACTGATACAAGTGTATTTTTTTTTGCAGCTCCCTTAACTGATACAATCATACGAGTGAATCTGTTTGGTATTTAAAATTTAATTTGGTGTTTTACTTGTATTTTTTGTCATGGGTTGTAAAATATAATTTGGTACTTTACTTGTATTTTTTGTCATGGGATGTAAGAAACAACTAATTTGATAGTTGGGTGATGCTTGTGATTGTGATTTAGTTTAGAAACTAAAAAAAAACAGGTTATAATTTAGTTGAATTTACAGGATTTGGTTTAGGAAAAATGAAGTGGGCTTTAATGGATGGCCTGTTTGAAAAATTGGCATTGTGGAAAAAACTTGGGCTTTTGAATAAATAAGCCAATTAGGTTTTGGCAATTTGACCCAAAAAATAAAGATTTTGGCCCAAAAAAGTGATTTGGGCTTAAAAATAACTAGTAGTGGGCTAAAGCCCAAAACCGACCAAAAAGCCTGAACCGAACCGGAGCCTATCGGGTCGACCGATTCGGCCCAATTTCGACTTTCAATTTGGAGCTGATCCGACCCGAGAACCGATATCTTACTCGGTTCGGCCCACGGGTCACTCAAAATTCAACCCGACCCGAACCGTGCCCAGGCCTATAGGGGCCACCCCGCTCTCCGGCTGTCTTGAGGACTCCTTGATCTTCTCTCCAAACTCCTTTCTCTCCTCACAGGTGATCTGGATCGACTGCACATTAAAAAAAGCGAAATGAATAATTGAGTTGTTAAGAAACTAAACTGAACACTATGCTGTGCTTTCTCTTGATATCATAGCCGTTGGTATCAATAACTATAACAACCGCGCGTCCTTCTCCTGCCAGTGAATGGGACAAGTCTTTGCTTCACGTGGGCGCTAGGCTTTCTCGTGAGGCCCGCTTCGGTTTATGGACTGCAACCAACCACACCCATACATTTTAGACACTGCGGTTGGGCTTCAAGCTTTAGACCCCAAAACAGGTCCATTGGGGGATGGTTTGGTGGCTTCAGTTTCCAAACTGTAAAAGCCTCCATTGGACTTGCTCTCACTATAGTAATTTTAAGCATTCAGCTACATTATAAAAGAGAAATTGACTTTATGCCAACCGGGTCTAAGGCCATCCCCAATAGTTGGGACTCTAAAAAGGGTTTATAGAGCCCCATTTAGAGCTCCGATGGAATCTTTGGGGCTCTAAGGGAATCACTCCCACAATGGGAAGCCCTATATTCATGGCGGGCTCTATATTTTTTTATGATATAATTTGATTTATGTGGTTTTTTTTTTTTTTGGGTTAACTATTTTAGACAAGATTTGGAAATCAACATTTATTTCATAGATACAATACAACATGATTAAATTAAAACAAGAGATTAACAAAAAAAAATTACAAAAAATTAAATAATCTAGTGAGTGAAAAAATTTGACAAATTGATCAAGAGTAATAAAGATGTTGCGGTGTGTAAAAATTATGAGAGATATGGTGGATATTTTATAGGAAGAATTGAGTTGCAAATCTTTTTTTCTTTTTTTTTAAAGAAAAAAAAAAGAAACAATATGGCCCTGTATAGCCGTTGGACATAAATGTAGCAGTTTATATTTGTTGGCTTTGAAAAAATGGTTTAACAATATAGCCGTTTACACAGCTTTTGAAAAGTTGGTTTAGCATGTTGGGTCAACATGCTGTTGACAAAACCAAAAAATGGCAAGTATGGCCTTGTACAATCGCAATGCAAGTGAGAAAGCCAAAAAGTTGGGTTGCAATCTTTTTCCTTGCGGGACCCACTCGATTTCAAGGACTTCAACCAAGCACATACATTTAGCTATTACTCCGGTTGGGCTTCAAGTTTTAGAGCCCCAAATTTGCACCATTGGGGATGCCTTTTTGAGGAAAGTTTGTATATGTGGGAGCCTTGTGGTGGTTGAGCCCCAAATAGAGCCCTCATTGGGGATGGCCTAACCCAATGGAAAATGACCTTAATTTGCAGTCTAGAGATCTCATATCCCTACGACATCATAGTTGTGTGTGCATGAAAAATCCCTCTTCAAATAGTTAATAAGCGTTTTTATTATATAAACATGTTATTTATAAACATGTCATTTTTATTATATAAAATATTCTACCCATATTGTTTGACTCTACTTTCATTGGAGTTACGACTCAAGATAGCGTCAGAAACATCTGGAGCACTAGCTTACTTACCCTCGTTCACTCCCACGCCGATCATACACCAATGTTTGGCGACGAAATGTTAAAGAAGATCGCACACAATAAGCAGTCAATATTGTAAATTGATTCTTAGTTATTTACTTACCTATTTCTGTATTTGGTTAGTCGTAATTGTAGGCAATAGAATAGGAATGTCTTGTACAATTCTAGTATAAAGCTGTAACTCTTGTTCTGTGAATATACAATAAAATCAATTCTTCCACATTTGGTTTCTCTTGATGGTATCAGAGCGACGATCTGAATAAACCTAACCAAATACAAACATCACCCTAGCAGCACAGTCATGGGTGACAACATCGAAAAGAAGTCAACCGACACAGGCATGCCTTCAAAGCCAAAATGGGAAAACCCCAACCACCCGCTCTACCTTCATCATGCGGACCAACCCGGCGTAATCCTTGTCCCGCAGCCTTTGGTAAAAGATAACTACAGCACATGGGTTCAGTCCATGAGCATGGCCTTAACGATCAAAAACAAGATTGACTTCGTTGATGGGTCAATCAAACAACCAAGTGGGGATAAACCTGATGAATTGCAGCAATGGAAGCGCTGCAACAATTTCGTCAAGACATGGCTATTGGGGTCGATGTCGAAGGAAATTGCTGGCAGCGTCATTCACTGCAAAGACGCGAGCCAGATGTGG